CTCTGGACCTCCAGACATCCAGCAGTGTAGATGCACTGCAGGCAACAGTGAAGTCATTTCTTGCTACAGTGGGGTAAAGTTTCCAAGGCTTTTATGGTTTCATTAGAATCCTTAACAAAACAGTAAAAAGCAAAGCAAGCACCTTTCCGCTTAGCTGGGTGACCCTTAAAATCAGGAGGTTGATATAAGCAGAGTTTAATTGCCGATGACTCACTCCTGCGCTTGCATAAACTCATAGCAATTTTATTAACCCCTGGTGCAGGCCTGGGCAGGAACAGCCCTGGTTTTGCATGGCCCCATGTGCACCGTTTTTAAAATACAGGCCTGTGGGGCAGCCCAGCTCACTGAAGAAGTTGGGAACAGCTGTGATTTGCTAGTGCAGGGAAATCATCAAAACAATTAAAAAATGAAAATTAGAATATTTCGGACACGGGATGCGACACCAGAAAAATATGGCATACTTCATTTAATCCTCCAGGGAACGATTGAAGGCAAATGAGGTCCAGGCAGAAGAAGAACATCGTGGCTTCAAAATCTAAGGGACTGGTTTGGACCAAACTCGGCCACACTTTTTTGTGCGGCTGCTGATAAAAACAGGATCGCCAACATGATCGCCAATGTCCAATAACGGATATGGCAGAAGAAGAAGAAGAAGAAGAAGAAGAAGAAGAAGAAGAAGAAGAAGAAGAAGAAGAAGAAGAAGAAGAAGAAGAAGAAGAAGAAGAAGAAGAAGAAGAAGAAGAAGAAGAAGAAGAAGAAGAAGAAGAAGAAGAAGAAGANAGAAGAAGAAGGGGAAGGAGAAGGAGAAGGAGAAGAAGAAGAAGAAGAAGATGATGATAATTAGGTTCATTTTACCTTACTCCATGGCAGGGGTCTTCAAACTTGGCCCTTTTATGACTTGTGGATTTCAGCTCCCAGAATTTCTCAGCCAGGTACGTGTGAGATTGCTCTCTCCCCGTGCCACCACCACCCCCAAGTTGCTTCCTCTCATTCCAGGCTCATCTTTCTAGTGAAAAGGCTTCCCCCAAAAGCCCAGGCAAGACCCCTCCCCACCGTTTGTATTTTCTGCCAACGTTGATGGAGTCGAAGTGGAACTCAAACGCATTTTTACCATTGAGGCCGTCACCAAACGTTGATGCTTTGCTGCTGTAATACAGGCCGTCCTCAATTTACAACCATTTGTTTAATGATGGTTGGAAGTTACGATGGCCCTGAAAAAAGTGACTTACGTAACTTTGTGAAAAGTTAAGACTGTTGTACCATCACATGAACAAAACCTGGGCACTTGGCAACCGGCAGACAATGATTGCAGCATCCTGCAGTCACGTGATCAAAATCTGCAACCTTCCCAACAAGCAAAATCAACAGCGGCAGCCAAATTCACGTAATGACCAGAGAGATGAAGATGGTGGTTACTAATCCCATTAGAGGCCAGACAGCAAAGTGATGCCTACTCAGCAATCTGCCATCTTGCCTATGGAGATTGCCAGGCATCCAGGTCATGATAGGTGCTTTTTCAAAAGGCAATTGGACATTTTTGCTTTTTCTTGAAGACGTTTCGCTTCTCATCAAGGTCCCATTGTAACTTTGGTTGCAAAATGAACTGTTGTTAAGTCAAGGACCTCCTGTCCTTGTTTCCAGGAAAGCAGACTCCACACTGTAGCCCCAGAGATTTTACAGCTCCACCTCTCTGCTCCTGCTACGTTTGAGTTTGGGGGCCCCATTTCTGCAGCTGGAAAGAAAGCAGGGACAATCCTACTGTTTCTACTTGATGGTAGGGACGACTCCACCCGTGGAAATGCCATCTCAGATCTGTTGATACTTCTAATCCTGTTGTTTTTTTTTTCTAACAGGACTGATTCAGAATAAGAGCAGATCAGTTGCTGGATGGGCTCAGTCTGGCCATTGATCTGTCTCCAGCAATGGCAAGAACAATGATCAAAGTCTATAACTCAGGCATGTTTCCAGCTGACGTCTCTTGCTAGTCCATGTCCAACAACTGACGTTCAGCGTGGATGGCTGGGTCTCTGTCAAGCTGTCTCCAGCCATTCCACTTGGTTTCTCCTGTTTCTACAGGATGCCATTGTTGACCCTAAGTACTCTGCCTCAGTTTCCCAACCTCCTTTTTAAAACAAGCCAGTTCCCTGGTAACTAGAATCCGTTTACCCATTACTCTTGGTTCATTCGCTGTTTCAGACATATTGTCTTATTTATTTATTCCTATAGAAAGAATATATCCCTTCAGTCTGAAGACATCAAGTTGGGGAAACCTGTTTAGAATAATGGCTCAATTGTTGTTGCTCTTTCAGAGCTCCAAGCTACCACACAGTAGTTGGCTATTGGCACGCAATCCTGAAATTACAGACACCCATATCTAACAGAATAACAGAGTTGGAAGGGACCTTGGAGGTTTTCTAGTCCAACCCCTTGCTCAAGCAGGAGATGCTGTGCCACATCAGAGTTGTCCCATTGGCTGTCCAATCTCTTCTTAAAAACCTTCAGTGTTGGAGCACCCACAACTTCTGGAGGCCAGTGGTTCCACTGGCTAATTGTTCTCACTGTCAGGAAGTTTCTCCTTAGTTCCAGGTTGCTTTTCTCCTTGATTAGTTCCCATCCACTGTTTCTTGTCCTGCCTTCAGATGCTTTGGAGAATAGCTTGACTCCCTCTCCTTTGGGGCAGCCCCCTTAGATATTGGCTGTAATGGTTTACTCAACAGAAGGCTGGTGTCTTCTCTTCACCACAATTTGCTTCTATTATTGAAGTTCAAGCAAAGCTACGGGAATATAGGGGATCAAAGGTAAGAAAGGGCTGGACATTACTCATTTAGGACTAAGGACACACTTCATGCCCACAATCCAGTATAGAAATGCATTCATTAGTTCTGATACAGGTAACAGTAACAGCCCTTAAGACTTATACACCGCGTCACAGTGCTTTACAGCCCTCCCTAAGCGGTTTACAGAGTCAGCCTGTTGCCTCCAACAATCTGGGCCCTCATTTTTACCCACCTCAGGAGGATGGAACTTATGAACACAATTGGGACTAGAAAAGTCATTGTTAAATGGTATGATTGTTAAGGGAGGCATTCGATGACCGCACCAAGTTTTATGACCTTTTTGATCACAGTTGTTAAAAGAATCGCCATTCATTAAGTGAGACATCATGGGATTCTGATTTGCAACCTTCCCTGCTGGCTTCCCCAGTGACTTTGCGTAGGGGAAGCCAGCTGGGAAGGTTGCAAATGAGGGTCACGTGATCCCGAGACACTGCAACCGCCATAAACGTGCAACAGTTGCCAAGCACCAGAGATCCTGTGACTGTGGGGACGGCCGTTGGTGCAAGGCGGATCTTAAGTCGCTTTTTTCAGTGCTGTCATAACTTCAAACGGTCACTAAACAAACAGTTGTAAATTGAGGGCTCCCTGTAGTTTCCATGTGCTCAAACCAGATTAACTCCTCAGTGAATTTCATTCATTCAATGTATGAACAACAAAACTGCAGATCGTTTGTAACATTTATGAGGTCAACTGTAATGATAAACAAGTCGTTCATTTCAAGTGTTTGGATGGCTACAGATAAACTATGGATTAGTCCTTAGAAATAATCTGTTGTGAAATAAGGAAAAGAAAATAATGGGGGGGGGGTTTTTCTCTTCTACCCTTAAAAAAATGTGCTGGTTGTTGGTATGGGGGAAGAGGGAGGAAGGGAGGGAGGAAGAATAGGGAAGGAAGGAAGGAAGGAAGGGAGGGAGGGAGGAAGAATAGAGAAGGAAGGAACGAAGGAAGGAAAGAAGGAAGGGAGGAAGGGAGGGAGGGAGGGAGGGAG